TTTATTTCTCCCTCAGGTTTAATATATATATATTTTATATGTTTACAATATAATAATACATATGTATGTACATATTATAATATTTCTTTTAGAACCACTGCCGCCGTGGCGAATTTTTAACTTTATATACATACATATGTATGTACCTGGCATAAAATAAAAGTAAATAGCTGTAGACTATAAAATTAGACTACTCGAATGTTGGGATTCCGAATAGATTTTTGACATAAATTTAATTTCTCTTTAATCGTATAATGATGTGTTAAATTATCTCTTACATGTTAATACTTTTATTGAACAATGTATGTATATAAAATAGATATGCACGAGTTCACCCATATTGCACGGTATCGTAAGCATATTCCAACTAATATGCATGGTTTTGAAGATCCGGCTTTAAGAATATCGTCGATTAAAGGTTACGTTCAAACGTATACACATACATATGCACATGCATGTATATATATATATATGTGTGTATGTGTGTTTGTACCTAAGTTTGCACGCTTTAACAGTAATCGTGCTTATATTATATTAATAGGCCGGATGGGCTACTCGGTCTAATGAATTGGATTTGGGTTGGACAAAAAAGAGGGCGAGGGAGAGGAAAGTGATCGTTTGTTTGACTGTTTGCCGGCCGGTAGATTGTACTTGTACATTTATATGTTACTATTGCTGTGTCATATAAAGTAATATAAACATCGATAAAGCGAAATGAAAAAAAACATATATGTATACGTACACGTACCAATTTTGTAGCATTGTGTAAATGCCGATGGAGGTCATTAACCGGAAGAGTTTGATTGGGGAACGCCGTCTTAAACACGGCCTGATACTTATTACGGAAAATGCCCAAAAATTTAGAACAATTTATGTAAATGGAACAAAAATAAAAAGTCTGACTATACAGGTAAAGCATTATCATTATTGCTTACAGTTAAATTTAAAATTATACTAAATGAAACTAAAGTTGACTTTACCTTTTACAAAAATAAACTGACATTCAAAACACATAAGTATGTATGTATGCATATTGAAATTCTCACTTTCAAATCGCTGTATTTTAAAAGCTTGACACATTTCATGACGCAACCGGCAAGTTCACTTAATACAAATATGACAGACATTAGCACATTAAAAAATATAACATTGTAGTAAATTGGACAGAAGGAATAAGAGGAACTCTATTGATACATAATTATTTTGAAAGGCCGTCTTCTTATACAGCGCTTTTTTTAAATACAAATTATAATTTTTTATACAAAAGAGAACACATAGGAATTTCAATCCTATATGCACCTCAACACAATATATGAATTGTCATATACTGGATTGGGCTTAATTCATAACACAATATACAAATATATTTTGTATAATCTTATTAAAATAAATTCGCAACCTATTAACAGGCTTACAATTCACTTTTTTAGATGAATTTGTTGACTCCGTCAATAACTAACTTTTTCCGATCAGTGCTATATGTATATAATTACTCGGCACGTCAACGCTCCACGTACTTTGTTTTTGTTGTAATATTGTAAGTAATAAGATATGAACGCTAAATTCTTCTTACCCTAATTGGAATATATTAGGTCAGTTTTTATAAAGCCATAAACCTCAAATAAAAATTAGAATGTGAATATTTGAGCAAAAAAATTAGAATGCAATTTCTGGTATCCGTATGTAATCAGGTAAATAAAAAAAAAAAAAGTAAATACGTAGATGGATGGGCACACAATTTTGGCAGCGAAATACATCGCACAATGTTTTCCTTTTATTTTGGCAAAGAAGGGAATTATGTTTATAATCTGCTAATTAATGAATCTGAGACATTAGTAATACCAAAAATTAAGTTATGTGAACCCAAAATGTCTATCAAAATGGCATTAAACTACAGTACTCTTATTTTGAAGCTTTTGAGTCATCTAACCACTTTTTCTCTCTGTTTCATCTATTTTAATGATGAGCAAAAACTTAGAATGACAGGATTTTTTGTACGGCCAACTGAAAAGTTCATGAAATTTACAGCAATGAAGTTAATCATAGATCACAAATACTAAAAAAAAGGTATGTGCAATATTTGTTGAATTGCTTTGAAAAGGTCCAAATTTATGTTGGCGTTTAATACATTTAGCTGTCTATGGACCACGCCCTAAATTCGACGGATTTTATCAATTTTTCTGATCACTTGCCTATTTAAAATATGTAGCACTTTTGAGTGATGCCTTGCACTCCCTAGTTAAACAAACCATTATTTTACTAAAAGATTCTTCAAGGTAAAGACTAAAAATATCATTCATATTTTTTCACCTTTCCCTACAAACTTCTTAAGAAAATATATTAATGAAATTTTTTATGATTCTTGCGTAAATAATTATGTCAAATATATTTTGTGACCTTTTATAACTTAAAATTAATTAATTAGCATTGCAAATTTTCACAATGTTTTTTGACAAACAGAAATGAGCAAATATAATGCTATGTACATCAAGATCTCTGCATTTTTATCGCAAATCAATTAAAGTATCAGTTATGAGTAATGCAAACCTCAACAAATATTAATAACTTCACATTTAGAACTAAAACGTTTAATTCTATTGTTGCCTGACACCAAAAATGCAACGTAGGCAGCAAATTTCTTTTTCTTGTTTCTTTTTTTTCTTTTGGCACTTTCCACGCCAGCACCGCCATCATTGCTGGTCACAGAAAAAGTCGGGACAATGTGTATGAAAAAATGAAATTCGCCGACTTGTTCTTGCACAATTATCTTTATCATATTATATTAATTGAAGTGAGTTATGTTTATAATAAAACTTACAATTTATATTATGCCTTCAAAATTCTGCAATTAATTAATTAAACACTTTATATTTAAAGAGCACAAGTATTCAAATTCCGAAATCCTTCTACTCCACTGTTCGTCGTCTTTGCTTCAATCAAAAATGCAAAATTTCTACTGTCACATCAGACAACGTTGCCAGAGTCAAAATATGTTAGAAATAAAACGAATATGGGGAAAATGAGATGCTGTAATAATTATTTGTAATATTTGTAAATTAATAATAAAAAATAATAAATGTAAATAATTGATTTTGTGTAATAATTAAGACGAATTCAAATAAGGAAAAGAGCGTACCAGAAAATGTTTTGAACCTCGAAATAGTAGCATTGCAAAAAATATTATATTTATCTAACCAATAAGACAATCTTTCCAATAAGTATGTTCTCCTTACGAACAAATCCAATATGAACGCAATATATACATACATAAGAAATGTTTACCAATTTAATAGTGCTGGAATTGTCACTCCACAATTTTTAAATGGAGTTTAACCTTAAATTATAAAATCTGGAATTAGAGAGATCTGAGCTACAATCATTGTTGACAGTCAGCTGTTAAGTTATTTCTGTCATTTGCGCTATAATAAATAAAGATTCTTAAATAAATGAATGAATAATAAATCAAAGAAATATGATAGAGATAAAAGCAAAATTTGTACGAGCAGATTCTGCAATATATGCTTCAGGAGAACGGGTAGAATGTCTGATCGAATTTGGCCATCGTGGCAATGACAACAGGTATTTACAAGAGCTTTGGTGAAAATATTCGAATTATTTATATGTATTAAAAAATTTATAGAGAGGAGAACTTGGCTTGGGCCTCCGCACAACTCCATTGTTATCGAAAAACCAACTATAACATCACTTCGGGGGACAAAATAACTGAGTTAGCAGAGCTGGTTGGTAAAACAGCTTTAGATGCAGGAGCACAAGCTAATGGTGATATATTAATTGCCACTAAGCCAAAGATATTATTTTGCGATTTAAAATTATTGCCAAATGAAACAAAAATTTGTAAGTAAATATATGAACTTGTACTAATGAAACCAAGATATAATTAAATTCAGTTTAATTTTTAACTTAGATTTTTTCAATGAAATTTTACCTCGTAATGGCCCGCCTACATATCGGGGTCACGACATTAAGTACTTTTATAGGATTACAATAGCGACACAAAGAGTTAAATCTAAAGTGCAAATGCTTAGTGTGCCTATACGGGTATTACCGATACCAATAATTGTACGACCTGATGAGATGCATTGTACTGAAGAAACAAATGACGAGCTAGCTCCTACTAATCCCTTTCTTGAAAAAAGAGAAATATCCGAGTTGGAAATATCATGGCATCACCTTAAGGTATTATAAAGATAATTGCTGTAAATTGTATAAAAGTTGTTATTTGTGTAGAATGTAACTGCCCGCCGAGCGCCTAAATATTATCGCATATCTAACAAGCGTGGATTCGTTGGTCGGTTTTGCTTGTTTAAACCGTCTTACAAAATTGGTGAAGATATAGTGGGTAGCCTTGACTTTAGCAATTGCAAAGTACGTTGTGTCCAATTTTCAGTGAAACTGCAAGCACAAGAAATATCACTTCAAAGTAATGCCGAACAGGCAAATAATGAGTTCAATGATGCATCATCTGTAAATTCTCTGGACTTGGCAAGTATTGCTAGTGGAACAGCAATAGATAATTTACATAAATCGAAGACATCTGGGAGCGCAAGGAATATTGCCGACGAGGAACCTATAGGAAATATTAGTACATTGGCAACCATTCATCAAATGTGTTATGCTATGTTGAAGACTTCTGTGATTATACCTATACCATTACATGTAACACCCTCATTCCGTACTGATTTAGTCGAGCTACGATGGCGTTTACATTTTGAATTTGTCACAAGCACAATGATGGACTTTGGTAAACCCAATCCAATAGAGGGTGAGCTCAAAGCTCCTGCCGAAATACCTGTAGAAACAATGGTGTGGAATTTGCCAATTACTGCTATATACGCTGCTAACCCGCTTCAAATATATTCACCCAGCCAAACACATAGTCTATTGATTAAGTGAACAATATACATTTGTATGATCAGAGCATAGTGCACACACAGATATTACGATATGTAGTGCACATTTTAAATATATTAATTGCAATATTTAGTATGTAAAAATAGGCGATGAGAAGTTTAAAAATTATATTAAAAATAAACTTAATTTGAATATATTTGGAAGTCAATTAATATTTTCTAACTCCGAATTCATTTTCATAGATATATAGTACATTAAATTTTTATCGCCCTACTTTTCCGAGTTTAGTATCTGTTTTGGGATTCGCAGTTAAATCCTGGACAGAAACAATTGTTTCATTGATTTTTGTTTGTAACTCACGTAAACTTTGTATTTGTAATAGGCGCAAAATGCGTACTGGATAATCTAGTGCAGAATCATCGGAGACTACATCATTGCCTTTTTCGAAGGGGAAAGGCGTCCCAGTTATAGCCTGTCGATTTTTAGCAGAAGGTGAAAGTCTTTCATGTACTACACGTGCAACTGCTTCCAATAGAATAAGATGGTTCGGATGTTGTGGTATTTTCAGTTTGGTTGCCAATGCGCGAACACCAGCAATGAAATCTTTATGGCTAACTGCAATTAAAATAAAATCCAATATTTCATCGAATAAGTACTATGTATAAACGTAGAAACTTACAGTCCATATTGTCAAAGAAATTCTCAGCTTTTATGCTAGGAGCTATTGATTTGTTCTGCTGCTTACTAACTTCAGTCGAGTTTATATCTTTGTAACTCTCAGGAGCATCTAGGAATTCCAAACGAATGGCGTAGCCCAATAGCCAAGTAATTTCTTCTAATGGTGTAACAAATTGTGGCATACTAAGGTCATATTTGTAATTTTCATACGCTTGCTCCCATATCTCAAGCTCGTCGACTTTCCGAAGATCCTCGCGATCTTCAATTTTATATTGCCGTATTTTTTGGTCTTCTAACCAGAGTATGGTGCTTGCAAACACCTTTCGATCTATAAAATAAAATCATTATATGCACAATTTAAAGTTAAATTGCACCTACCATTAACATCAACACTACCAGGTGCTGGATGTTCTAGAGCTTCTAATTTTAGCTTTAACATATTTCAATAAACTCAGAAATGTTTTAGTAAAGTTATTTGGTGCAATTGACTGTCACTTTGTACCAAAAACTTTCAAAATATCGATAGCTTTTAACCTCGTAAATGCCCACTATTTTGTACTTATTATTATTCTATCGATCACATTTGATTAAATATATAATTTTCTTATAAAACTTATTTCAGCAAAAAATTAAATGTTTTAGCGAGTGAAAAAGAAACTAGTCAAAATTCGAGTAATAATATTTTTCTTGTTCACTTAGGTTTTGCTTGCTTCACCTAGGGTTAATATCGATGCTAGTAAAAATATCGATATATGCAAATCCGACTTTCTGACATTTGCTAGAATTGTTATTGATTTGACAGTTGTAAATAAACTAAACAACGTGCAGAATTTAAGAATAGAAAATGGCTTTATCCAATATAAAGAAACGAAATATTTCGAAATGTAAGATCAAACTTTAAATAAAAGCAAACACATTTATCAAACATTTTATTTCAAAACTAGCTCTACCAAAAGAACAGGTTCCAGACGATTCCGAAGTTGAATGTTCTAGTGGGGAAAATCTCGAGGATGATGCAGAAGGAAATATTGGCTGGGCTGATTGTATAGCCAAAGTGCTAAGCACGTCCAAGCCGAAAACTAAGAAAACATTGGTATTATCCCGTGCCAGAAAACTAAAACCGGTTGAGAAGTTGAAATCAAAAACTTTGAATTATGGTTTTGAAGTTGAAGGTGAAGACAAAACTGATGTAAAATCCATAAAGGAAGAAATTGATGAGCAAATAAAACATCGTAAGAATGTGCCGCTAGAATTGCGTGTAAAACCTTCATGGAAAGATATTGAACGGGAACGCACATTGCGAAAAGTTGCAACTAGAGGTGTTGTCCAGTTATTTAATGCAGTTCGAATACAACAAAAAGACATCCAACAACAATTGGATGCTGCAGGCCCATTAGATAGTCGAAAAGATGCAGTTTTAAACAATATAAATAAAAAAAAATTCTTAGATGTTCTTATGAGTGGCAATCGCGCGAAGTCAGAAGCTGTTGACAATCCTGTAAAAAGTGAAAATATGAAGGACGTTGATAGCAGTGATGATGAAGATCATATGCCGTCCTCTACACAAAATAAGCGAAAGTCAGAGTGGAGTGTACTTCGAGAAGATTTTATGACAAATAAAAAAATTAAGCATTGGGATGAAGATGACGACGAAAACACTGGTGAAGCACCAGAAAATTCCGATGCGGAAGAAGATAGTGGCGACGAATAATAAAATGTATTGAACAATGATTTTTTTGTTATAATTAAAAGTGTTTACATTTTGTTATGCCTAACTAAAGGTCTTTATAAATTAGGATTATCTTTTAATATAAATATTGATTAATAAAGATTGTATACTGGAAAGAAGAAATTCTAAACCTATAGCACTCAAAACTATTGTGACATTTAGACCTCGGAATTGCTTGATTTCAAAAAGCTTGCATTCGAAAGTCGGGCCAAACCTAGGGACACCACACCTACAAAATAAGAGTAAAAATTTAAGATTAAACTATTATTTTGTTTTAACTTACTTCCAGAAATCAATCGCATTGTATTCATTTCAATTTTTTTACGATTTTTAGATTGTGAGAAAATATATGCTCCCATGGCAATTAATCCGAAACCACTTATTAGACGGCAAGCTAAACAATCTTTTTGATTATCACTGGACGTCATTGAATAGCTTCATTTAGACCATCCAGCATTATCAGAAATATAGATTCAGATTTATGGGGCAATTCAGTACTTTGATAGAGTCAAAACCAGAAATTGCTTTCAAAACGTGACAGTCACAGAAACTCTAAATTGATAACGAACAGATCTAATCAGCTGATAAATTTCGTTATTTAGAGATATATATAAACCTGAATGAAAATAAACATGTCAAAAACAAATATTAATTTTTCTATAACGCAGTCATAATTACCAATCAAAAAATGTTTACTTTGAATCGCAATACATATTATTATATATTTTTTTAATATATATTTATTTGCAATCTACCAATTAACAATCAGCAATACTTATAGAATTTTTTTTATTATTATTGTATTTTATATTTAGGCGTCCTTCAATTTTCCATTTCTCTTAAAATTCTACACCGTGCACATATCAGCTGTTTTCACTACGGCGCCAGTATTCACTTAAAACACCGCCGTTATTCAATAGAGTTGGAAATTTTCCTTTGTACACTATACGTAAATATAACATAGCAGCTTATAAAACCACAAAGAATTATTTAAACCGCCTTGGAATGAATTCTGAAAAGCATATGGCATCCGGAAATACTGAGGGAGAGGTATGTTGTAGAGTTTGCCTGCAACTGGAGGAGTTGATGATCCATATTTACGACGGTGGGGTTATTGAAGACTTTCAAACGGACCTAATCACATTACTGGAACGCTGTGGAGGAATTAAAGTATACTGAATTCATCATTGAAATAGATTGTATTATATATATTTGTATTTAGGTGGAACAATCAGACAGTCTTCCAAAATTTCTATGCAAGGAATGTACGACTGAATTACTGGTGGCTGCGAAGTTTCGTGAGAAATGCGAACGGACACAGCAATTACTAAAAACTGGTCCACGAAAGAGCACAGAAGATATTGGAGGATGTTTACCAATAAAATTAGGAGACGTAGAATATGAAGAACATTCCACTGATACTGAAACTACATATGATTTACAGTTTCTAAATGCACGCAATAGCATAGAAATTCATCCAGATAGTTTTATGGAAACAAATTTAAATCAAGAAAATATTGAAGAGAGGTGCTCGGCAAATACACAGCTGGATGATGCAATTACGCCCAAAAGCGGAGAACTCGTAGATATTAATTTAAATAGCATTGACATAATAGAAGAAACCAAGGAAGGATGGCAAGTAATGGAATATATTGAAAGTAATAGCTGTGAGGGAGAACAAAAGCAAGAAATTTATTCGCCCAATATATATCTGACGAATGATATCAACTGCACAGAAAATGCTGACTCAGAAATAAATGTAGGCTTTGTACAATCTTTTATGAAAATTAAGTTTTAAAATATGTGTCTTTTTAGTCCGAAAAAAAATTCAGATGCGATTCCTGTGGAGCAGTTTTCCTACAGACAGGTAATCTTCAAAGGCATTTGGAAAAAGTGCATTTAGTACTACAACCATATTGCTGTCCCAATTGTAGCCACACTTTTTCTATAGAGCAAACTTATATAAATCATAGTAATAATTGTATGAAATCCAATGATCAAAGTGCTCCAGCAACTAACAATAATATCCCAATTAAAACATTTCCAACGTCATCCCAACGAGAATGTGCATACTGTGGCAAACAAATGCAGTCCAACTTCGCTCTCAACATGCACCTACGTACGCATACCGGGGAACGTCCTTACAAATGTGATCACTGTCCGAAGGCTTTCAAAACTCAATCAGCTTATACAATGCATTTAAAACGTCACGCTCGAAAGCCTGACTATTCATGTTCATTGTGCCATAAGACTTTCTATGAGACCAGCAATTTGACGGTGCACATGCGTACGCACACTGGAGAAAAACCCCATTCTTGTACTTTTTGTCAAAAACGGTTTTCACGTGTTTTCCTGTTACAATTACATTTGCGTACTCATACCGGTGAAAAACCATATCAATGCAGGATTTGTAACCGCAGTTTTGCGCAGTTATGTGATTTAAAGAATCACGAGCGTATACATACTGGCGAAAGAAATTATAAATGTACTATATGTGGAAAGGCATTTATAAAGAAGTATTCACTCAGGGCGCATATGGATCGGCATGCCATTCTACAGCCTGAAGAGGGTACTGTGTCTGATGAAAAAAATTTCGAAGTAGAAAATGCCAAAAATACACAAATTGAAGATGAATCCGTCAAGTATATTCTTGATAATAGCATGCTGGAAGGTGATAGTTACTTTCTATCCAAAGTTCCTGAAGACAGTTTTTGCAGCTTATCTTATGAAGAGGTGCCCCAACTGAATGAATCCAACGCAGACCTTGTTTGGAGTGATTTTATAGTGGAGCATATATGAAATAAGTAAGAATATCTATGTATATTTATAGAAATATACGAAAAACATATATAACCCTTTCTTACATATGTATATACAAATTGGTTTTTATTTTACCAAGGCGAATGACAAAAAACATTGCTAAGCACCCGTTATAACAACAACAGGTGCCGTAGTCTATTGTCAGTACACTGAAAGTGATTCCGAAATATTTCCTACCAAAATTTATCGGCAACACTACTCAAAATAATGTGAGCAAACTTTCTTGCCGATCAATTAAAAATAAGTAAAAAATTTTTTAGAGAACCCGCAACATAAATTTATTGTTGAATACTTTCGTTAAATTTGTTTATACAATAACATATGCCCTTTTATACAGTGAATTATTTAATACATACAATAAACAGTTAAGTGTATAAAATAATTATGGGCACTCCTTTATATATTAACAATAAATAATTTACAAAAAGGAAACACACACTTGTTTTTATGATATCGTAATGTTCGGGCCTCAAGTGGATTCAAATCGAATTTCAAAGTTGTAGTAAGAAAATTGAAATACATACATATGTTTTTAAATGTATGTACAGATGTTATTTGATGCTGATATTTATGTACAAGTCGCCAACATAAAACTATTGGAATTCGTTTGAATCGGACTTGAACAGCCGAACTTACCTTAGCTTAATTAAATTAGCAAATAATAAACTTAAGACAACAACACTACATAGAACTGCAACTACATCCAAGACGTTGTTCGGTTAGATGACACCAGAGTCGATGTTTGTAGGAGAATTTTTGGTTTGTCCCCAATGAGAGAATCGATAGTCAGGTTGTTAATCGTAATTTCATCATTTCTTATTTTTCGTATATTGTTGAATTTATTTTTTGCTGTTGAGCAGTACATTCAATTCATTACCCAGGCCTGTTGGCACACATTTAAATAATGAAAATTAAATACTTTGCTCAACAAATTTTTATCTAATGTGGAATGAGTTGGGTAATTTATCGCTTATTTCGAATTTCGGTGAACCATTGTGCTCTTTTATGTAGGTAAACTTTAATTTTACTAATCAAAATATGTACATCTAATACAATTTGATAATAAGTATAATGCAAAAACAAAGAATGAGTGAAAGACTCATTGTTTTTGACTGGAATTTGTAATTTAGGCATTTATATGTTAATGGTACTTTTCTTTGAGCGGTGCTGTGTCTTTTAATTGCTCGTACCAACCTCCTCCATTGCATTTTTAGCTTAGTCTTTCTTATCACCCATTTTAACTTTGGACGTCATGTAAATTCCTACAATCAAGCCGAAAAGTCCAATGGCTGAACCAAAAATTTCCACAATCAAAATTTTCACAAAAAGCGCTGAATTAGCTGCATCAGCAAGCGCAGCTCCGGAGCCAACAACGCCAACAGCAATACCACAGAATAAGTTCACCAAACCGACTGCTAACCCTGCACCAAACATTACGTATCCTCCAAACCAATTATTATTCATTACAGTTTGATTCTCTAGTGCTGCGGACATTGTAAACGATTCCAGCAGACCGGATAAAACGATAGCAGTGATCAGTCCGTAAATGGCTACAGCCTCACAAAAAATAACCGAAATTAAATTCTTTGTCTTTATTCTCGGAGCTTTCACACCACCGCCCACAATGCTGGTGCCCGTTGTATGAATGCCCAGAGCAGCTCCTACCACAGATAATGCCACCGACAAGCCAATTCCAAGACATGCCCACATATAAGGTGAGGTGGATGCAAGGAACCAACCAACACTCACACGTTCACCTTTTCCAGTAAGAACGAATTGGAAGATAAGCACTATGCTAGTGGCCAGAAAAAGCCACCAGAATGTGTGGAGAACAACGCTGCGTATCTGGGCCATTCTGCAAGTTTTCACGGTTTATCTGCAATAAGTTATTTTTATATAAATTTTTTTACTTAACTACGCAGAAAGCTAATGAAAATTTGTAAAAAAAAAATACTTGCAAAAATAACTCACAAAATATCAAGATTATTTTAGTGACAGGTGACCGAGAAAAACTTTACTCATCACATGACAGACGTACAATGCCGCCCTCTACTGGGTAGAAATTGTACTTTTCTGATTAATGTGGCCTTGCAACCTATGCAGAGTTGCAACTTCTTATGATAAACTTTGTAATAACAAAAAATTTTTATGTACATAATTTCTAACATTTTTTAATTAATACTTCTGAAATTAGGAAATTTTATATTTATTTTTGTATTATTTAAACAATATAAACTGAAATACGTGTTTATATGTTACAATAGATATAGTTATAAGTTCCTAAAAGATTATCAACTTAATGTCATACAACAGCTATAAGCATAAAAAAATGTCTTTTAATGATAGGGAAAAAAAATAATTGTATAAGTAAATAAAACATATAACAAATATTTCCCAGAAAATAAGTAGCAATGCAGAAATTGATTGTGCATTCATTGATAATATTAAAAGTGATGCCAAGCCTTTTCAGAAGTTTTAAAGGCAATGTAAAACTTTTAAATACATAATTCTCGTACTGATTTTCCTCTATTTTACTATATATATGTACATTCATTCAATAACCGAGATTAGCTGTTGATTTCATTGTATATTTTATGATTTTTTCTTTAAATATTAGTATACCAGTTACTTTAAAATTATTGTTTGATTGGAACAATATTGACATATTGTCAAAAAATATTTTATTGTGTCCGCATTTTTACTTTGTGAACAGCCAAAGTGGGCGAGCTCCCTTTTCTGCGGTAGCACAGAAAGAGAATTCTACTAATTAATATTGTGATCCTGAGCGTGTTCTAAGCCGAATGCTGCAGGTCCTCAAACGTACAACGCCACCTTTCACAAATATTTTTGTTTTTAATTGCTCAACTAAAATCCAGAAATATAACATTCGGAACGTGGTGTTTTCTGCTTTGGGATCTGGGAACCATATTAACCATTTTTTTATAAAGTGCATCTTATTTTAAAATTTCTTCTGTTGGTATTTTGAATTAGCTGCATCATGATTTGTCTGAATTTTAAGCTTCGAGATTTTTATTGTCGGCATTATGATGTACCTCCCACTAGAGCTTCACTAAATCGCTTCTACATATTTGTTTTACTAAATAGTTTACAAACAACTCTCTTTTTCTTATTTAAAAATTTACACATATATTTAATTGTCAGACATTTTCAGTGCTTTTCATTATCAATTAAATTTCACACTTCATTCCTTTTAGAAATTGTTTGCCTGCTTTTGCCCTTTAAAGTATGGAAATTAGAAACAAATAGGCATCGCATGTTGGTCACTTACCCTACCAACTCCTGGCGTATATTTGGTTGGAATTTTACGATTATAATTAAAAACCAAGAATTTTTACAAATTTACACTAGTTCATAGATGAATTGAAGCTAGTATTGATACTCCTTCAGTCAAAAATCTCAGTTACTTGAACCCTTCGTTCAGAATTTCTTTATCCTTACATCACATAATTAGAATAACCACAGAATTTTACTTATAAAAGGAAACGAATTAGTTTATTCTACCATCAAAGCTAGTAAATACATTTAGTATTGATGCAAAGAGAGGTAAAATATTTACGCATCATCACCCTTGGTTGCACGTGTATAGATCACTTGGGAATGGTGCTGCACGACCTGTTTAATCAAACCTACAAGATATACAAACAAATTAAAGTAGTATTCATTGAAAACCTGAAATCCTCTTCTTACCTTTGTCACGCAATTCCACCAACGCTCTTTTGGCAAGTGAACCACGAATTTTCAAACGTTCCGATACCACTGAAGGAGTGATAAGTTTGTATTGTGGCACTTCCTTGTATAATTTTTCATAGGTGGCTTTGTCGAAGAGAATTTGGTTATTCAACTTATCCCTGACTTTGCCTTTGGACCACTTCTTCTTCTTGGCCTTACCGCCACCACTTCCTTCCTTTTTCTTTTGTGTCTTTTGAGGCTGTTTAGCCGACGATTTCGCGTCCTTCTTTGGTGGCTGTAAATTACAATTATACGTTACACTTTATATGATTTGAGGTTATTTCACGGCCAATAAGTTTTGTTTCCTTTACCACGAAACTATTGTGCTCAACATAACCATGTGCCGAACTCGCATATTTTATTGAACTTCTTCAAAACCGGTAAATTCAAACCATCGCAAAATTAGTATGGTGAACTTATGCTAAGGCATTGTTAAATTTTCACATAGTTGAGTAGATTGGCACAGAAACAAAACTTTTTTTTGGCAGAAAACAGCAGCTATCGACTCACCATCGTGAGAAACCCAAAGCAAAAAGATGGAGGCCGGAAATTGTCAGTGCTACCATAACATCATTTTCATTCAACGCTACTCGTTCACAAAAGAATAATTGATAAATTAACACAGAGTTGTTACATGTACATTTTTGGGAAGGAACTGTATCGTATTTGCATGCCAAGAAATTTTGCTTAAACCCGTTTCAAAGAAATTTTTTAATTTTTGTAATATATGATAGGTTTTTTCGATCTATCATATTTAAGTAGCGCTCTAAATATTTTCTTTTCACAACATATTGGTAATTCATTCACTTTTTGCTTAGATTTTGATTTATTTTATAATTAATAATATTTGCTAGATAACACATAACCTGTTAACTTTCAGATGTTCTAGTAATTTTTTCCTAAATTGCAACAACAAAAGAGGAATATAATAATTAAATTAAATTTGAATAATAATTTTTACAATTTGTTGCCATTATAAGCTTTTTGTGAACTTATTATAAAGAAGAGTATGAACGATCTATCAAATTTAAACGTCACCATAAAAAACAGAACGTCACTACAAAACGAGAGCTCTGATAAATTAATTTTGATAACTCGACTAAGTAAAATAAATTAAGGCCTTAATTTCGTCTGTATTAGCCTACGTTAGATTAAAAATAATATTAGTGCATAAATGTTAATTAAATTTTAAATACAAAATAAACTATACTCCTAAAGAGACGCTTTTGAGAGTGTCAAAAGAGAGAAAGATCAAAAAGAGCCGCTGAAAGCAACAAATATAATATACAAAAGTTTAAACAAGTCCAAAGCAGATCTACCCGTTCGTAAGCATCAATAAAAACACGTATGCAAGTCAACCAACAGCAATATTATTTAGACAGTGGAATGAGTTTTATGATGTATTCTTTTAGTGTAATTGCAGCACAGCCTAATCATTAGATAAACATATATCAGTTGATATTACAATGATACCGTTAACGCACAAGGATCGTAGCAATTGTAGCTATCGGATCAAGGAGAAGTTGAACAGTTGGAAGCGTCTTATATTTTCGGATCGAAATTCGAGAAATCTTTTTCTTTTTCTGTTACTTAATTTAAGTTTTGCGTTCGTGGAACTATTTTATGGCATATGGACGAATAGTTTAGGTAAGAGGTTTACTATCTTAAAGTCTGTATTTATAGCAAAATTTTTTGAGAAGGATTACTAAGAAGTAATCTTATCTGTCCTCACTTACTTTTATATTGCTATACCGATAGAGCGGTACATAGTAATTTGCATTCACGTGCTCATAATATCATATACCTATGTGTATATGTTTATTGATAAGCCTTGGTTTTAGCTAAAGTTGAACTATATTTAAAATGTTTTATAAATAATGTTTTAATATATTTGTATAACTAAATAGTTTCTTATGTATAATTTTGTAATTACAGGACTTATATCCGACTCATTCCATATGTTTTTTGACTGTACCGGTCTTTTGGCTGGATTAGCTGCTTCGGTGATTACTAAGTGGAAAGCAAATGATAAGTTCTCTTATGGTTATGTGCGTGCTGAAGTTTTAGCAGGCTTTGTTAACAGTCTATTTTTACTGTTCATCGCTTTCTTCATTTTATCTGAGGGTGTTGAACGGTTGATTGAACCCCCAGAGGTAAAACACGAACGACTGTTTGTAGTATCAGTGCTAGGACTGCTAGTGAATCTCGTTGGTATATATGCGTTTCAACACGGTCATGGACATTCCCATGGAGGGGGCGGTGGACATGGTCATTCTCATGGCGGTGGTGGTCATGGTCATTCTCATGGTATGAATAATCATATTGATTTAAATAATCACAATCAACAGTCGATAACTATGGATGTCGGTAAGTATATACATCAACTATATTTTAACAAGATTTTTCATTCAATTTTATTTTCATAGGGCATGGTCATAGCCATGACGGAGGGCACCGACATTCGCACGCTATCACCGATGACATCTCTGGAAGCAATTCACAAATTATGCGTGGTGTTTTTCTACATATTTTAGCCGATACCCTTGGCTCTGTGGGTGTTATCGTTTCTGCGGTGCTAATGCAAATGTTCGGCTGGATGATTGCTGACCCCATTTGCTCTATATTCATAGCATTACTCATCGCTATGAGTGTGCTGGGTCTTATAAAAGAATCAATACTAATATTAATGCAACGTCAACCATCAGCTCTGGATCGAGCGCTGCCGCAGTGCTATCAGAAGGTAACTGGGTTGGCAGGAGTTTACGCTGTGCAAGATCCTCACTTCTGGACATTATGTTCGGACGTGTATGTGGGTGCAATTAAATTAGAGGTTTCCAAAAACGTAGATCCCAAATATGTAGTGACGCATGCGCGTATGATATTTGAGTCTATTGGTGTTAAACAGATATATATACAATTAGATTACGTATGATAATGACCGACTATAAAGGAATGCATCTAACTAATATAAATTTTGATATCCTGAATCAATTAAACTGGGATTAACCATATGAGAACGAAACTTGTTTATTATTCAATACTTAAAGTAAGCTCTATGCATTTCTTTGAATCAAATTATTAGTTCTACTATTAATTTATCAAGTAAGGGATATTTATATATTGTGTAGATAAATTTTCTTAAAAAAAATCCTTAAAATCATGTTTTCTACTAATTTATTTCATAATGTGGCTTTGTAACAGCATTGTTATGTGTAGTAATACATATTTATTTTATTAGCATTTTGTGAATGTACGAAATAACGAAATTGAGTAATTACGAAAATCTTGAATAATCCTTTATTAAGGATCTAATATACAATAATGAATTATTTTAGTGCAATCATTCCATTACAAGAATTAAACGAAAACCGATCAATATTTTAACTACGAGTGATCAAATCATTGAATAACGTTTAAACACAGGAGTTATTAAGCCGTGTCTATGTGAAAATACACGTAGATAACCGTCTTAAATTATAACAAAAACATCATTTAAGTTTGATGAAGCTTAGCAAATAGATAATAACAAATGTGTATATTAAATAATGTACGTATTATAAATATATGCATGCATAAGATTAAAATAAAATTTATACAAAATGTCGTCAAAAAAACACAGTTAATTTGTGAACTAACATAAGAAGTGGAGTTAAAAATGGAAGAAGTGATAAAATAAAGCAGAAAGGAGCGAAATGGTACCTATACGAATATGCAGGGACTTAAACAGAAAACATTTAATTGTTGGAGAAAATATTTAAAAAAAAATTAATGCTCTTAGAATTTAAATTTTAATTATAAAGATACATATGTATGTATCAAATGAAAAACAATTCCTAAAACGATCATACGTAATCCATATATCATACACATCTATTTTATAGCCCAGAGATAGCGTGCGTACACATGTATGCACATATTTACAAATCATTTTTCCTACATGGCAAAAATTATAACAAGAGTTTATTTTGCGATATACATATGTATGCAACAGATGGGTGTAGTGATTTAGATGTGCATATATTTACTCGTCGTCGTATATTACAAAGAATACGAACACGAGTAAATAACAAATACAAGCACACACCCCGAATTGTTGTTTCGCCATACTTTCTTCTACGCCAATGACCTTTCTCGGTTGTTGTTGTACTGAAAAATTAGCACAGGTAGAGGATTCTTAAAATTAAAAGTTGTTATCACTCGAATATATCCCATCTGGGAAGCAAAGATATATCATTTTTGCACTAACGCCATTTTGTTTGCATTGATATTGCTGCAATGGGGATGCGAATTGCCGATGCCAGAAATTTTTGCTAACTATCTAATTACCTTATTTAGGTTATGTTCAGACATAATTGAGAAAAATGAAACACCGTTTGATTGTTTATGGTTTTCTTTAATTTGTCCGTAACGTTATTTTGCGTATTTTTATCTATATTTTCAAAATAGCAGTTTCGTTTTTTCATCTTTGTTGCATCTTCTCACTTAAACAAATTAATAAAGAACCAATATTTGTATAAAAATTACTCGAGTATACGCTGCAAATTGTTTCATCATTTACTACTACCGGTGCACTTAGCAGGTCGTGCAGTAAAGCAGCAAAGATAGAGAAGTGTTATTAATGTGTCTTAAAAAAATTAATATACGTAATTGGTTTTAGTTACACTGAAGAGCATTACGGTTTTACAGTTCATAATATTAAAAATTTGACCAAAAATATAAATGTTACATCTTAAATTCGTGTTTGATCAGAACAATATGTCAAGGAAATCTTTACAATTTCAACTAAACGGTATTTACTAAACAAAAAATAATTATTTTATATGGTGTGATTCTTTTATGTGCATTTTAGCACTTCTCCTCCTCGAGTCCATGCTTGAAGAACATGAGAACGGGTGTACTCACACCGTCGAGTTCACGGTATTCACACATGGCTACCATACCATCGCAGTCCATGGATTCGCCAGTGAAGAACTGCAATTCCTTGAATCGGCCAAGAATTTCCTTCATTTGGTTATTCATGTTGGTTTTGAAAACATTAACCTGGTCTGGCGAGTTTTGCTCCAATTTGGCCAAAACCTTCTTCATGTAGTCTTTGAGGTAGAGTGTAAACGACTTTTTGTCTCCGAATGCAAAACACTCCTGTAAACGGTGATTCAAGACAACGTCGACGCCGGATTCGACGGCGGAATCGGTGCCCTCATCGGCTTCCTCAGCCGATGGGTTGAAGCCTTCGATATTAATTTCGCCTTGGGCACGGCTAACCAATTTACCGTAAACTTCGTAAATAACCTCATCAACCAGCTTCATTTTGTAGGTATCAGCAAACATTTCGTCGCCGGTGAAGATATCCTTGTAGATTTTCATTTTTACGGTAAGTTTTTTAGGTCTGAAAACTAAGAAAATTCGAGACTCCCGACTTTTACACGAAATTAGTCACACCGAGCCACGCGCTCACGTCTACAGCAAACAACAAAAAGAAAGGTTGAAGATTGACATGCAGTGCTGCCACGCGAAATCCGTCAAGGTAATAGAATAGAGTACGAAAAAAGCGGAATTTCAGAAACACCGTCAGAGATGCATTTAAGAGTCACAATTAATTCACAGTAGTTGTTTGTTGACGACAATTTTGACAATTTTATTAAGAATTTGAAATGTGTATGTTTGTTTTTAGCAATATAAGAATGATAAATAAAACTGTTCCAACGTTGCTGTAAATTGCTAACGAATAAAAAAACAAAATAAAATGATTAGTTATTGGCATATATTCTGAGGTCCAGAAAATGTAAAGATACGATCGGATAAGTTTGTTCACTCTTGCGGTCAATTCACATAGAACATTCGTTCCGACAGAAAGGCTCGATATAACCTTTTTTATATAAAAAGTTTTTTACGCGAAACAAGCCAAATGTTAGGCAATTTTGATATTTTTACGCTTTGCCAAGCAACGGTCGTTAATTTTATTAGAGAAAAACACTGAAAGCAAATTGTTTATTGGGCATACCTTTTGTTTCCTGTGCTTCGTTAATTCTGTATAAACTGTCAGAGTGACAAAAGTTGTGTGTAAATAGGCCTTTTCTTATCAATATAGCTGAGAAGATTTTTAACTCTATAAGCTGTTACAGACAATTTTTAATTTTTTAAAGCCGTTTTGCGTTTGAACAAACGAATTTCTTATTGTAAGTATGAATCTATGTTATTATTTTATAATTAAAATATATATACATGTATAAAGATATAATGATTAATTTTTAATTTTTAGAAATATGCTATCTCGATATAGTACATATTCTAATTTGTACCGAACTTTACGGACAATACCATGTCAGCAAATAAAACTAAAAATAGTTCAACCTAGAGAAAAAGAAACTCATGGTTCAAAAAATCGTCGTCTTGGCAGATTTTACTCACCAAATTTAACCATTTATAAACCACAATTGACTTCGATTATGTCTATATCAAATCGCGCAAGCTCAATTTTGCTGAGCCTTTATACATGGGGTCTAGGTGTGGGCGCTTTAATATCTTCGCACGACAATGCCCATTTTGTTACGATGCTTGATGGTTTACAATTGGGTGCAACTTCTTTATTCATACTTAAATTTTTGATCGCTTTTCCATTTTCTTACCATTTATGCGCTAGTACCCGTGTGCTGATATGGGAAACCGGATGCTTCCTGTCATTGCAAGGAATTTACGGTACTGGTTATGTAGCACTATTGACTACTGTCTTAACAACCATGGGATTGGCATGTTTGTAAACAGTTTTGGAAATTGAAATATAAAATATAACCAAAATTCATTTGAAGCGTGTTCAGCTGTTAATTTTTCAGAATGGCATTTTTAGTTGTTTGTATTCTGGTATTTACATTTAATTAGCGGTCTCTCATATCAATGTGATGAGCTTTTTCACCATTGCGAATGGTGCTATCATTTCGATAAGAACAAGCACAAGTCAATTTGACAGCAAAACCAAAGTGGGCATAAAAGTATATACTAGAAAAGGTTGGAGTAAAGTAGCTAATATGTAAGTTTAGCGGATAAAAGTTGGTATAAATGTATTAATTTAACTATTTAGGTATGCCATAACACGTTCACTTATTCGGTCAACTGCTTTACGTCAGGGTATTCAACGGATGCAAGTCGCTGCACCGTCTCGCCAAGTGACTTTAAAGGTTGTACCAGCAGCAGAGGCAATTCAGACAGAAACGTTTGATGAGAAAAATATACGCCTGGGACGTGAATTGTCTCCACATTTGACTATCTATAAGCCACAGTTAACGTCGATGTTATCAATTACTCATCGAGGCACAGGTTTTGCATTGACTGGGTACGCCTGGGCCTTAGGTTTAGGAGCCTTGATGTCTTCGCATGACATTTCACACTACGTTACCATTATTGAAGGCTTGCACTTGGGTTCTGCAACATTGGTTGCGCTTAAGTTCGCTTTAGCATTTCCACTAGCGTTTCATTCTTGCTGCGGTGTCCGCCATTTGTTGTGGGATACAGGTCGTTTTCTGAAAATTACTGAAGTCTATTTAACTGGTTACGTAACACTTGGCATCAGCTTCGTGCTGTCAGCTATTTTAGCTTGTTTGTAAACATATGTTTGGATGGAAAAATTTATGCAATTGGAATGCTTATGTTCGTTTTTCATTACGGTGCTTCGATTTGACTGAAATGCACTAAAGTACGCAAAAATTTGAGTGCTAACTGTCGCGAAATAAATGTACATACATACGATAGAAATATAAAAAATGTTATTGATACCCAAAACCGTTATGTATTAGTTATGCAATATAGATTGAGTACGAATATCCGAAAAAGATAAAGAAAAGCAGTTCTAAATGCTTTGCGGGGTTCACATTTTAGTGAAATATTATTACAGTCTCAAAAAAAAAAAAAAAATACATACATTACAAGAACATTGGAAAGGTTTGAAAATTACCACTTCTATTATAAACCAAGTACAATGAATTCTTGATAGAAATGCCGGGTAAAATTTAGAATAGCATCCCCGGATCTCGGAGATAAATGGGTATCACTGGAAAGGTTCTCCAGATCACGAAAATATATATATATATTAAAAAGATATTTGCATTTAAAGTTGAAAAATTGACAACTTTTACATTGATAATTCGTATATTGCGAATAACTTTTTCACTATGAGGTTTCTGTATATTTTCCGCGCTGCGCTTCAAAAAAATAAACAATGGCAACACTTTTCTTATTGTGCAAATGCACAGAATTTAACTAAAATAAAATAATTAAAATAAAGCTTTACAACAAATATTAAAAAAATTAATATACAGAAACCTCATAGTGAAGTGTTAGTAAGTGAAAAGTGCATAATATAAGTGCAAAATATTCGCAATATAAAAATTATCAATATAAAAGTTGTCAATTTTTCAACTTTAAATGCAAATATCTTTAAAACTATAAGTCAGCGGCAACTAAATATATATATATTTTCGTGATCTGGAGAACATCACCTTTTCAATGATAACTATTTTATTCCCGAAATCCGGGGATGCTATTCTAAATCCCAGCCGAAATGTCAAGTAAATTAGTGTAAAAGACGTACAAATATTATTATTTTTCAAAAATAATTATTTTCAAATAAATAATCAAGAATCCTCAGACATAACCCACTTATTTTCACCGGCGAGGAGGTTCATGGTATTACCGACAGGGTCAAATTGTCAAAATTTGCCGGCTTTATGCCGTCTGATGATGATAAACTTGAGTAAAGTATCTTACCAAGGTTCTCAATTTCACTGTGACCACTCTTACATACTGGTTTATTTTAAAACTCTTAAAACCGTCTTAGGGATTTTGCTCGTGCTTGCATGATATAGACGTCGGTGCTGGAATCGATGGTATTCGCTTGAAAGTGAACGCTATATCCATGATATTTCTTGCTCTTTAACTGCAAGGAGCCTAAAGCTCTACCCTTTTAAAATTACAAATCTCTTTACAAAGTGGATGAAGGATACATTCTAGACCTCAATATTTTCGTTGCTGACATAAAAATTCAGGCAGACAAGAATCTAAAAATTTAAGATGTTTCCTTTGATTGTCCGTATTCTTTCAATCTAAGATCGTGGCCATTATTAAGATACTGTGCCGCAATAAGATCCTCAAGGTGTATGCACCTAAGGGAAGGAAAAAGAAATTTTCCTGGAAGCTTACAAAGGAATTGATCGGCCGATCTAAAACTATGCAGCACTAATATGATCGCCTCTGCTGCATACAGGCGGTCATATAACGTAGTTGAAGAACTGACTTGTCAGAACACCTTACTCAGAAAAACAAATTACTGCAAGCCTCTTGAAGTTCCCCGTATGCTTCTCATTAAGGTGCATAACTTACTCATCTTCAGGCAGTTTGTGTTAGGATATTTTAACAAAGATTATCATTGCAGTCATCTGCTTGCAATAGAAGCGTTTCCAGAGAACATTAAGATACTTTTCCACAATATGTTGATGATAATTTCGGCACAGCATGCTCACACTCAGCTGTGAAGTTTTTTTTTTAATTTGTTTATTTCCTTCTAATAAATGGAGTTATTGGAGTATAACCACTTCCCTTCGCAGATCGTGAGCACGAGTTGGCGGGTGAAGCCACAGTAAGCCCTGCGCACCAAACCAACTCATTTCCAAATGTTTGGATGCCGTCGAAACAGGCCGCTTTCAGCAAGAAATATTATCAAAATTTTAGCATTTCCAATATTTCTTTAATATTTTATGCAAATTTCAAAACAATTCAAAACAAAACATATGTATATACATACATATGTATATTTGTATATTGTATACATATTTATGTATGTATATGTATAGCCAAGAAAAAAGGTAGTATAATTTCGAATGAGAACTCCGACTAGATATGAAAGTAAGTAATGGAGAGTGACGAATGGTAATAACGGTAAAGTGTTGAAAACGAGCTCGGAGGGCTTGAACAATTTAGGCGTAGTTTGTTGGCAGCGACATTGGTTGTCAACGAAAAATGGTTGCTGATGCTGCAAAAACACGTTAATACACACTTAATACACAAAAGCATACAAGTGTGATCTTCATACATACATACATGTATATTTAAGAGGGTAGGTGGCATATGGTTTGGAAAATGTAACGCTATTCCGAGCATATGTTGTATTCGAGTGGAGTGGTGAGCAAAACGATGTGGGGGATGTTGCCGACTAAAATTCCAAAGTAACATTTATGAAAACTTATACATATGAGTAAATGTATGTTATATGTACATACATACATACATATATACTATATAATACAATTCTGATATGAAGTGCACATGTGTGATTGTAGTCGCTACTTACTTTGTTGCTTCCACCAATTTTGACGGTGTAGTTGGTGTTGCTGGCTTTCCGCTTCGTTGTCAGTTAGTTCGCGTCGAGTGGCTGCTGGTTTGTTGTTTGCTAGTGCATGTATGCTTGTGTGCGTATATACGTACATATATACATACATATGCTTGGGTAACTTGTTTTCGTTGATGGCATCGTCACTTTTGGCAGTAGTGATGGGTTGATGGTGTCTGGACATGACCTCAATTGAAGTTGTTCATGTCATTCAATGTGTTAGCTGTTTTTTATTTTTACAAGTTTGTACGAAAATATCGTTCTATGTAAGTTTTCGCAGCTGGGTCACTCTAAACACATGTGTATGTGTATGCGTGTGCACTCATCATATGTAAGCACCATATGCATGTCCTACTAAATGTTCCGGGAAAGACTATGTGTGGGTGCACATCTGGGTGTAAAGCCACACATTACTTAAAATACTCATACATATACATTTAAAAATTGCGCTGAAAATATTAAAGGACCAAGTGGTACAATTGAACTATGCTTGGAAGCAGATCTGGTTACATACCTAACCGCCTGATTTACTTATATAGAGCTAGCTGAGAGCCAGCAGTCACCTTGTATCTTGCAAATCACGTCACATAAAGGCGCGAGAGCACTGGCCAGGCACGGTGCTTGCTTTACTTATATAGAGCCAGCTTCCCCTAAAGTCACCTGGTGCTTTCAAAATCAGATCACATCGTGGCGCAAGAGTCACCTAAGCACTGGCCAAGCACGGTTCTTGATTTACTTATTCGGCTGATTGATCGTCTGTTTTCGAGTCGTTAGCATAGATCCAAGACTCATCGTTAGTAAAAATTCGTTTTATGGCATCCTGGTAGTCGGGAAGCATTGTTTCACATACGTTAACGCGACGCTGTTTTTCGAAAAAAGTTAGTGTTTTTGGAACCAATTGTGCTTTCACTATTCCTAGGCTCAAGTGAATTTCTAAATTATTTTCACTTAACCTTCTGATATTCTAATGATGCCGATAAGCTCTCTGACTATTAATCGTCGCTTCTCAAGCACCCATTTCTTTATTTTATTGAAGTGTTGATCATCAGTTGATATTCATGACCGTCGTGGACGAAAACACTTGCTCGCAACAAATAATTATCACAGAAGGCCTTTTCCAACATTCTGAACGTTTCAGCACAAGAAATTTGATTCCGCACACAAAACTTAATGGAACTTCTTTTTTTCTTGAATAATTCCACTCATCGTAAAAATCGACAATGCATTTTATGTATTTCAGAAAGGCAAACTAATGAATATTTTGATGTGGCATTTGCCAGAGATGTCACTGACACTCGCGCAAATTTTTATGTAAAGAGTCCGACTATTTTTCGCCCACATGTTGGCTAAACGAAGTAGTTTGTTAGGTGGTCCTGTCCTTTGACATCACAATATTCATGAAACTATATTTTTTTATATGTTTAGATTCACTTCGGTACTAGTGTATAGTAGAATGTAGCGTGGGCTTGTCCTAGTGCATGATGTGGGCCTGGTGTTTACTACGTACTCGTATGTGTGTATTCACTAACATTCTTGCGCTGAAGCTCACTCATACATTTTTAAGTTGGAGCATCCAGCTCGTGTCACTATTATCGACATGTTTTTAACATAAATTATAAAATCAAATGTAGGAAAGCGTTTTTTGGAGGCATAAAAATACAAACTTTTAAAAATTATCAAATGCACGTTTTTCCTTGCTTAGCCAGTACAAGAACTATGGCAGTTAGTATAACAATGGGTAAAATAAAATATAAACATTGAAACTACATACTTGCAAATGAAAAATTCGATGTTTCATTACCCAACTGTGAGAAAATTTGAATAACAATAGTGACGATAAAAAAAAAAAAATAGTGAGCATTCATTAACATTTGTGTTGTGTTGATCTGCCGGTTGCAACTTAAGTCCGTTTATATAAATTTCCGCGGCATCAATGCAGGCATTTCGTTGTTAAAAAAATTCAGCTCAACGAAAAATTGCTCTTTTATCTCTATACCTCAACGTTCTTCGTCACTGAACTTATATGGCTGCGATATTTATATATAATAACCGATTCTCAAAAATTTTAAAAATTAAATGTTTCTTATTCAAATAAGCTTATATATTGCTTCATATGCTTCTAATCAAATGTATAAACTCTTTTGGACTTTTACATAGTTGTCATATACAGCAGCTGCTGGTCTTAAAAGCTATTGAAGTGGGCAATTGCTATAGTATCAAAATAATCACATTTTTTGGGGTATCTTTCTCTTGTTAAAAATGTAATCGTAAATCCCTACCAATATATGTACATATGTAAGCATATCAGTATAACGATGATATATTCATGTATTTCTGTACTTTGTTGAATTATTTTTTTCATTTTCAAAGTATCATTTTGAATATTACCAATTCCGAC